TTTCCCGCCACTGTTTCAAGAGATTGTGTATCGAGGATGGGAAGACGTAGAAAGCCTGAAGACCACAGTGGCTGATAAAGCCATATCGATGTTATTGGCGATTCTTGCAACGGACAAGCTTAAGGAAAAGAGAGAGGATGAAATCGAACCTTTTAAGCAGTGCAGTAAAGGAGCTGCCAAATTTGAAGAGTATTGTGAATGTCTCAAACCCCTTTTTATCGGCGATGGTGAAGAAGCAGGAGGTGAAAAATCAGTGAATCAACAGTTACCCAAAGTGCATCAGCAGTTACTCAGGAGGCCAAATAAGGCAAGTTTTGTAGATTGTAAATGTTTATTTTTGCATCGAATAACTTTTCATGAATCCGAATGTCAAAACGTGATCAGAAAATAAGCGCTAAATCTGTATCAACAGTGCGCATGAACTTTTCCAGAACGTAGCCCCTCAAGACAGCCAGATGATGAAGCTCACCTAAACAGCATTGTATGCATAATCAGGTCAGCAACGTATCTGATTGATATATTAATTCAGCCCATTTTCAAAATAGCATCTTCATAGTTTCCCAGATTAGCGCTGCTTTCAAGCGAATGTCGTGACAATGTTGATTAGCGAAGAGCATAATACATGTCTTTGGCGGCCTCTCCAATGAACAATGAGGTACCGTCTTCGTTCATTTGAGCGAAACATCATTTACGTATTTGTTTCAAACAGAATGCAGGGTTTTCAAGTTTCCGATTGCGTTTTGAATTTTCCACACCAATAGAAGATGCATGGATCAATGCTAAGAGTGCACTGAAAGTCTATGACAGGAATCTACCAATGCAACAGGAATTGAAACGTGACATAAAGCGTGACGCAAATTTTTTGTGGTAGCTTCCACGAGTGGAAGCTTTCCAGACTGCCGTTAGATGTATAACATTGCGGATAATGAAACCGGATTTAAACGGCGAAAAGGTACCGTGTAAAGAAAGGAAAATTTATTTTTTACTTTACAGTGAACTACTGTAGTGTAAGGCAAATGGAAGTCTTACACCGGGTTGCATCTCAATGTTGCACCACTCCCAAAGCATCTAGTCGAGCGAGAAGGACTAAATAGGCAGGCTACGGCTAAGTTGGAATGAACGAGGCTCCCATGCGTGAAAGCTACCCCAGAACATCACCATCTTTCATATTTCTTCTACTCGCCTACGGATAGAGGCAAACTTGTTTGGGCTTGAGTATGTCCTTGTTCAATCTAACTAAGAGACATGGTCATGTGCCTTATTGTTATGGACAATCATAAGTCATCGCCATGAGTCAGTCGTGCACTGATGCGACCAAATACCTTATTTGCATGTTGTGATCTAATCGACTACACATCACCACGTAATCAGGTCAAATCATGCGCTCTATGCATTAGCATATGTGAGAGCGCCATTTACTACGCGCCGATCGTCGAGTATATAAACCCGTCATTTTGTCACTTGTGTGTTACGTTGTAACGTCTCGCCTTGTGAGGGTTTGCTTTGCCCGGCTCGGCCACCGCAATAAACCTATATCCAGACCTGGCACTGTGATGATACAACACTTATGCATTGCAGGCGCTTATATACCACTGAGCTGTTGAGACCTTGAATGGCCCAGCCATATGACTAGAAGCAATAGGGAGTCAACATTGCGGTAAAACCTGACGACACACTTCCATCTGTCTCAAACTTCTGCAGTGTCGCCGTAAAATGAAGAATGATTTTACTCTTTTAGCATGATATATTTTCGGTCCGGTATCACTATCTGTAGTATGATATATTGACCGGCGGTATTGAAAGCTCCCACTAGTAGCGGCTATCCCGGAACATCGAGGTGATATTGTTTTCGTTGCTCGCGTAGATTTTTCTCATTTTACTCATGAAGATTTGTGGTCTATCCGTGAGGAAGCTACTTGCCTCCCGTAAATTCAGCAAACCGGTTTCGATTCATTGTGGGTTCGAATTTTCCTGATGAATGTTTAACTTTGTGTCACCTTTAGCTCTGAGAATCGCCTCGATAAGACGCAAAACAGCCATTAAAAGCATCACTATTGCTGATGTGATACGTACTGAATACGTTAAAGAAAATAACATTCATTTTCACATATTTAGTCTGAGAGACAAAAGAGATTTTACCAAGCTTCCTTAGTACTGAAATAACGACATCTTGGACAAAGAGGTACGATGAACATCCATCATCGGCGGTAATACGTTATCTAATGCGGCCTGGTTATCAAAATGTCTCTCATAGAGTAAAGCCAGTACTCTCCTCTTAACGATACAACATTCGGTAATTGTCATTAGGGCTGAAGTTAGTTTCCCTTCGTCTATAAGAAACCCTCACTTTTCGCGAAGCCGAAAGCTGCTTGTCCAAAACGATGTGTCCCGCGCTATCATTCGTTCTGCAGCTAATTGTCACAGAGACCGTTTTCGCTTAATATTGTAGTAATGCCATCATAATGTATTTTTTTGTGTTTTAGATATCGAGACGGGTGAAACGATCGAAACTTTCCGGTCTGCAGAGTCGAATGCTCTCTGATGACCAGTCGAAAAGTCAGCTGCAGGCAGAGCGAATGGCACGATCGTCATCGATCTCACAAGTTCTGGCCAATGTGATCCTTGATCAATATCATATCCAGAAGACAAGAGAGCTGGACACTTATCCAGCTAGCAATTTTGGGAAGAACGAGTGGCGCAATGAGCGACAAAGGCTGGTGAATTTTGTGACTTATAAGCTCCTTGGAGACGAAGATACGCAGACGCTTAAGGAGTCGTTTGGATGGGATATGCTGGAAAAATTGGTCGGAGAAGCCAGCAGTGCCTCGCAGCCAAACCAAAATCTTTCTCAGTGGCAAACGAACGTCGTATCCTTCACCAGAGAAATAGTTCTTAACTTGACTGGCAGGGAGGATATGAACGACAGCCTTCGTATTCTGTCACCAAAGATTTTCTCGGTGGTTCCCGAAAAAGGTAATGTCACATCACTCCTTTCCCCACATTTCCTCAGTCTATATTCGTCACAGAATATCAACGAAGTCTTGCCATTGTCTAAGCTACTCAAAAGCTCATCGAAAGCTGAACAGACCGCGTGGATGCGAGTTATTCTTGAGCTTAGCAAATCAACCGAAAAGCTCAGGGAACTGGGCATGGAACCGTATAAAGATCTGAAACAGCAAAAGTACCGCTCCCTTTTGAAACGCCTAAAATCCATTTCTAGACCCCTCACAGATGTGCTAATGAACAACACTTCAGAACGGCAGACTATGACGACTGTATTTAAGCGTCTGGAAAGGATGTACAGCGACGATCAACGCAAAGCTTTGATGAAAAGGGGATATGCATTTCTGAACAAAAGACAACTGCAGCTGCTTTATGGTTCTTCAAATGTCCTGAAAATCAGTGAAAGACCGAAATTCTATGAATCTTTTCTGATGATGAGTGACGATGAAAAAGAAAAGTTTCTTCTCAAAGACGTTACACACATGCTGGCCGGCATGAAACCTAAGCAGAAAAGACAGGTGGTGTTGAATCCATTAATCTTAACGCCAATTGTACTGCAACCCGCTTTGCGTTCACAACCCATTGTGCTTAGTCCGCTGGTTTTGTCACCGGTGATCTTGTCACCCTCCGTGTTAGGACCATTGGTTCTAAGTCCATTAGTGCTAAGTCCTCTTGTCTTGTCTCCAAGTGTCCTTGGCGGTCTCTATGTAAATCCACTCGTTTTGTCTCCATTAGTTTTAGCTCCAATTGTACTTTTTCCGCTTGTTCTTAGCCCTCTGACTGTGTGCCCTCTCGTTTTGTCGCCTTTCGTGCTTTCTCCGCTTATTTTAAATCCTCTGACAGTGTCACCGGCCATCCTTAACCCGTTGGTGCTTAGTCCCCTTATACTTACCCCCTATTATAAAGGTGCTCTTATACTGGCACCAAGAGTTCTAAGTCCGCTAATCAGATCACCCATCGGTCGATTCATCATCACAGGTTCTCCTTCCATTCTGTCACGGCGCAGAAAGAAGAGATGGGTCTGGAACAGCACATCACATAGCCTTGTTCATATCTGATTGTTCTCTATTGTTTCTAATGTTCATGTTAAATAAAATGATACAATAGCATTAAGCATAAATAAACTACTACGCTAAATTCGTTGTCTGATGATGTGAAAAATCCTAAAACATTTTTTCGTTCCTAGGCACGTGATTCGCGTTCCATAAGAAATTCAGCAAAGAACTGTGTATGTCATTTAAATTGAAGCAAGTCAACCTGCATGACACCATATTAATTGTATTTCTTGATATCCTGCCAGGTATTACACTATCTAGTGTATGCATCTGCTCTAATGAATAATGCGGCAAACTATACTGGCTACTTTTATACGCAAGCCAATAACTTTTGTAGCGCTCAGAAATCAGAATTTACGAGGATCTCTCAGGGTATCAGATTAGCAAATGCAGCTGGGCGGTCGGCAGGGTTTATTACGAAAGTCATATCATTTCCAACAATCACAAAATCTGAGTTCAATCGAAGGAGGAACGTTTTTGCTGTTGACACTTTCGACAATTTTTCCAATATTTTGTACTCACTGGACTACGCCTATCAATAAAATTTTCATCCATATTATTTTTATTGAATCCGTCTTCCTGCACAACGCTAATGACTGTCGTTTTAACAAAAAACTAAGATGGAGGTTAGGAAACATACAACTCTGACTTCCACATACTATAAAAGTTAAGTGGTAGAGCCATTACCCCATTTGTTACTGACGCATATATCCTCGGTACAGACCGAGAATAATGGAAAATGAAGTTTGCCCTTTTAGACTAATTGCTGGAATATAAATCCTTCATTTCTGCTTGCGTCCTTGACACACGGGAATCGAAAAACAGAAACTTTTGACATCGAAGGACGCGTGCAACGTTGAAGGATAGAATTTAGGAAGGTTCTTGTTTGATAAACCTGTCCCCTGTGATGTTACAGTCGCTCCAACGGGTGCAAAACCAAAATTACCTGGGTATTTAGGTAGTCTGAGTTCACTAATAATGAATGACCTTCCCAAGATCAGATTTTATGGCGCATTGTATCACCACTTTGCTCCTGCTTACCTATGGGACCATTTATGAAGGTTATGGCTCCATGGCATTCAGTCAGGAAGACTTTTCTCAGCCTACCTATCAACTAGCTCAGAAACGTCTGCAACCGAAACAAACCTATTAGTCAAAAGCATCTCGGTGTAAATGCATTCGTCTGCATCGTAGTGGTAAGCTTCGGTTAAATTAAAGTACCCAGTTTTGGCATTCGCAAAGTTGGCTGGGTTTCGCTTCATACTGGGCAGCCCTTTTACTCATATTTGCATAGGGAGGCCGTTTAAGAACGTCATGACTGCGCGATATTTGAGTACCAGCATTGAGAGATGCTCACATCAGACCTCACATCAATTTGTCTCCTAGTTCAATAAATGATGTTTCAGGGTTTAGGAGTCCTTATATGGCATTGCATAAATATCATAAGCTGTTCGTACTCCAGAGTAAATAATGAATGACCAATCCAAGACTAGAATTCATGGCGTATTTCATTGCTCCCTTGCACCGAGTTACCCAGACGGGTTATTTAAGCAGAACATGGCCCCAAGCTATTACCCGAATGAAATGAAGCCATGGTCTGTTTAATCAATTCTCCTCTAAGCAACTAGGAGCAAAGGTATGGTCAATATACGGTAAATCTGCTCTTGGATAAGTCATCCTCATTTTGCACACACGGACGTACGAACAGCATATAGAAGGTGTTGACTGGACATAGTTGGATTCTCGTCAGTGA